TAACTAGGTCGGCCATATTGAGGAACTTTTAAAAGAATTGTACTATAGGTGCTATGAGTAATGAAGATTATTATGTGAGTATTATTATTTTTTTTGTACCTACATACATGTTTTCAATAAAAATGTCTCATTATTTAACAAAAATGTTTTAGTTTCATATTTAAAAATATCTTTTTTCTATAAAACTATAAAAATTGTCTGCAAAAACCCCATATATCTAATTAAAAATGACCCCTATAATAAACCCGAAAGAAAAAAAAATATTATTGATATTGCGAGAAATGTGTCTAATTATCAAACTGACAAACTGCTTGCTGCTAATATGAAGATTTTTACTGGATTTTTGTAAACAAACTTACATCCAATTAAATTTTTTTTTTACTTTTCTCGAAAATTGTTATTAATGACATATGGGATTTTTGCAAAAAACGCCTCGATTGCTTTTAAAATAGTGGTTTCAATTAGCGTAGAAGTTTGTTCCTTTAATTTCAATGTAAGCATCCAGAACGTCAAAATTAGTGGTAGACATTTTCAATCTGTAGAAAAAGTTAGCAAACTTTGAACTTTTGCACTTATTATACTTCAAAATTTGCAAGAAATGTCATTTTGGCCTTTAATTATCTTCCGTCAAGGGAAATTCTGGTTAGAAATCTAAAGTTGATTGTTTTATAAGCTTACAACATACAACTGACAACCGCAAGCTGTTGCTAGGATATTCTATTAATTTTAATTGTGTTTTTTAAACATTGTGAATGATTGTAAACTAAAAAGTATAAAGTGTAATTGAAAGCACTAATTTATTCCACTAATTGCGAGGTTCTGAATGAAGCTTAATTGATACCTATATGATACTTATATGATACTTATAAAGTTTGAATATTTGTCATGGTAACGATTTTCTTTAAATGAAACAATTATAATAGAATTATTATCTTTTAAATGGTTTTACCCTTGATTATGTATAAATAGATATACAATGAGGGCTTAGTAAAATCCTGTATTCTAGATGGCGCCTTGCCCGTTTTGCATTTTTGTATTCCCCTACGATTTTCTTTGAGGGGAATCCGTTAAACCCGCCCATCGTTCAAAAATGGAAGGGCGCGAGGTCACATCTATTGGGCTACTTATTAGCACGTTTCACGCATGTTTTACGAAAATAGCTTTATCCTTGTTTGTTTCAACTGTGACAAGAAAAAAGGAAAAAAAGTCATATTCGTTTCTAAATTCGGCAGTTTTGTTTATCTTTCTCGACTTCTGATTTCGTTTCGTTTAGGTTATGTCTTAAAAAATAATTATTTATAAGCTTTTGAGTTGAAATATACCTTAATGCATATCTAAATAATTAAAAAAATCAATTTTTTCGTCCCTCACGAAGAAACGAAACAGTATTTTTGAATATTTGGATTACAAACTATTATTTTATGAGTTTTATGTGTTGTGTTTACGTGATGTGTAATGTGTATTTTGTACCTGCTGGATAATATTTTGAAACATATTTAATTAAACAAAAAGCATCTGTATTACAGGTGAGTAAATACTGTTCATATTTATTTCTAAATTCATATAAATTTGTTTGAAATCACTCTTGGTTTTTAGAGTTTTTATCTTAGAGTTTTACCTCATAGAGAGTCTGAGATAAGTTTAATAATAAACATTAAATTTTATAGATGGATAGATAGATTAAACGATAATGGTCAGTTGACTTAAAAATTTAAAAAATACTGATTTTATGCTATAAATTATGTTTCATTTCTTACTTTGCTTTTTTGGAACTGTCAGATATATTGTGTATTTTATAATTTTTCTTAATTAATAACGTAAAATATTGTTTATCTACAGTCGACCCTGTGTTTAGATAAAGCTTCATATCAGATTTCCTATTTTATATTTTCACTCAAATTATATTTTTGTAAAATAGGTATGCTTGCATGCAAAAGTAGCGTAAATTTGACAGGGAGGTATTTTTATAGATATACAGGATGATTCATAGATTTAAATACATATTTACTTTAGAGTTGTATAGTTTGTCAAAAGAAAGGCTATATTTTTTATTTTTTCTTGGTGATTTGTCTTGGTGAATATCGATTATTTGGATTTAAAAATTATTTTTCAAAACAAAGTTGGAAAAAACTACATTTATGTCATAAAATGTGGAGTTCTCTTTGAAATAATCGAGAAAAACCCAACATCTAGTTTTGACGCCACCAGTCATGCATTATAGTTGATTATACTGCAATTTGTTATACATACGTAGTTTTGTTTGGTGAAAATGAAACTTTCTAAAAGTATTCCCAATTAAAACATATTAAGAATTTCCTACATTATAATTTTGAAAGACGTTTGAGTGGGCAGACAATTTGGTCTAAAATAATCATATGTCTAAAAAAATTAGTCTAAAATAATCAAAAACCACTTAACACATATAACTCGCTTTTAAAAAATCTAAAAGAAATAAGTTTGTTTATTATATTCATATTTTATTAAATTATTATAGGTGTGACTGCTAAGTGGTCGTACTCGCCACTTTAACCAACCATTGGTGGGACCATGGTAGGACCTTAAGAGATTATAATGCGAATTTTTCATACTATGTAAATCTATATACATATATTAATAAATGCGTTTGTTTTATTAAATTTGTTTTCTTATACGGTATGAGCGAAAAAAAACGGCGTCTATTTGTTTACGTACAAATATATGATATCGATATTCATTTCCAAGCCACCTCTGACGCCGTTTTTTTTGTCGTATGGTATACACTTACATATATCCCTTATCCTTTAAATCCGATTTATTTCTAATAATTATAAAAATAAGATACATGATTGATTCTTCCGAAATATTATAAAATGAGATATCAGGAAATAAATAAAGTTAATTATCTCGTTTGTTATGGGAATTCAAAAAAAAGGGTATAGAGAATCTTAAGAGACACAGTTCAAATATTATTTTTGAGTATAATGGGTGCTTTAAAAAAAATGTGGCGGATATAATGTAACATGTTTTTTAATGCAAAACTCTTATTTATAACTTTTATTTTATTTTCGATTCTGCCTAAAATTCTATAACTTTTTTTATAAATAACGTTAGTATTTGCAAAAAAAAATATTCCTATGTTACATAATTGTCAGTTGTTTCCGAAGTTGGGCTACACAAATTTGGTAGGAGTGTTTTACAGAGGTGAAGAAAAAGATATATTAAGTATGTAAAAATACTTGGAGTTAGGTTTCGGTCACTTCCTGTTTCACTGGAAATGTATATGTACGAGTACAACATGTGATTTTTAAATGGTACCCTCGGTATTTTTTATACTTTATTTGATAGAAAATGACATTCTGAATAGAATGACATATATCATATGTCAACTTTTGACATTTTCAATTAAAAAAAATAGCATTTTAAAATTCAATCTAGTGTCATGGCTGTGTTAAAACTAACGGAATACGAATCAATCTCGATTTATGTCATATACCTACTCACATTCCGAATTTGGTAAACCCCGAATTTAATTTTTTTATCTGAAAAAATAAAAAAGTTATAGAGGTGAACCGCTTTTGAAAAAACACTCAGTATAGGCTGCGTCATTGAAAGAATCTGCAGATATTTTTCTATTTTAAATACGTAGTCGAATTTCAAAAATATATATTGAACACCCTGTAGCATCTACCTTAAATATCTACATATAAATATCTAATATTTTTTCTTCATCAACAAATTGAAATATTATAAAACTAGTTTTAGCTTACACCATTATACAAGAAATATACGTAAAAAAAGTAATAGAATTTTACGCAGAATCTAAAATAAAATAGGATGACATTTAAAAAAAACATTATGTTAAATCCGCCACACTTTTTACAAAGTTACAGACGTAGGTAGGTATAGTTTCATATTATATTCTTTAATTATCCATCTAAAAATAAAATATTTATATACCTAATATCATACTTTAGTATCCAACAAGTGGGCATGAAAATTAAAATAAATATAAATCCATATCCAAAAATAAAAAATGTAAATAACGCTTTGAGGTATAAATTCGGCTAGAATCAGATAAGATATTTTATTCTTTACCGAGAATTAAATTCGAAGAATTCCTAGTCCCTACTTCTTTGCCAAATTCAATAGTCTCCGCCCCTTTTTACGTTTTAATTTCTGCCACCAGTTGGCAGCATCGACTTATACAGGCACATTGACTAACTATTAATATATAAACAAGGGTTTTACTGAAGAAACCAGAAGATTTAGGTATATAGGAACATGAAATATTGTTGAAAAGCAATTTTATTTGGGTTTCAATTTTTTAAATAAAATACATAGGCTTGAATTTAAAATAACAATAATTTGAACGATTTTATAACAAACGGAAATAATTATTTTTCTGACCTCCCTGTTTGACAGTTGATTTAGAGAGATAGAATATGTCGACTTTCCTTAACCTATAAACCAAATTTTAGCTTTCAATATGCCCAATTTTGTTTTTTATCTTGAAAACTAATAGAAACTAGGTTAGTATAATAGAAAAATTTTGAGATATGGAAGTACTTTCAAAAAATATAATAATATACCGGGTGTTGGCATTTAAAATAACAAAGATGCTACCACTGATGTTAGTATGAAGTAGCAACACTGTAATGCTGAAAATAATTTAGACAGATGCAGGTGCATACAACAGGAAACAAAACCAACAAAAATGGAACACATGCTTTTATACAAAAATCCAAATTTTCAAAAAAATTCTATCACTGGTTCTCCATAAACGTCTAACGTGCCATGGCCGTGAATCACCCTATATATGATCTAGGGTGACTACACAATAGCACAATACTACACAATAATAGGTTTATAAAAGATGAAAGTTTCCAATAAAAATACCATAATGGAGAAAAACCAGCAACAAAGATGTGTTGAAAATGAAGATCACTGTTATTCTTAATGTAAAACTTATAAGAGGATTAATTGATTGTCATTTTAAATAATAGCACAAATAAGATACTTACCATATACTTCTCCGAAGTAGTTCCATCACAAATTATATGAGTGACACTGCCCAAAAAATCTGCAGTATATAATCCACCCATTAATTGAACTTTTTGTTTAATAGCTTCTTTGGATGATTTGGACAGTTGTGAGCATGTTACTATACAATTGTACATTGCAACATTTAAAATAGGCCACTGAAAACTAGGAATTGGCTTGCTCTCAGATAAGCAAGTGCTGATAGCAAGTGGCCCCACTACCCTGCTTTAGTTTCAAAAATTAAATATAATATTCGTTAAATTTGTAATGTAAACTTTATACTTACGCACACTTGGTCTCAATAAACTCACTAAAATCTCGACCATCCAATTGTTCAAACACAACATAATTTAACTTATTTAAATTGTTTATATCTAATTTAGATTCTTTACTCCATGTCACATCATCGACTAATTCTTTACAAGCCTAAAAAATATATTTGTTAATATGAACATAAATAATAATTTATAACTGTGTTTTATTTTTTTTCTACTGTGATAGATAAATGTGATTATGCGATTCAATAGTCTCATGGTGTTTTACCCGCCCACTGCTAATTTTTTGTAATAATAATAATGATACTCCTTACATTATAAGCTTCTTTCATAGTATTTGATGCTTCAGATTCAGTCTCTGCCTCTTCAGGAATAATAAACACAATATGAATATCACACATTTTAAATTATTTATTGGTTCTTTTAACTTAAAGGTATTGTAGTTTTCCTGGAAAAATGTCAATAATTATTTACCTGTTTACAAATGGTCAGGGGAAAAAGCAAGTAAATCCATTTCTCTCCAAACTAAGAAAAGCACGATTTAATGTTCAAAAAGTTACAAAAATAGGGTACAAGAACTTGTAAAAATAGTGTAATCGAGATTTGTTAGAACTTAAACGGTAAAGGTATTTTTTATTAAGGTCTTTATTATCAGACTGATGAGTCATGAGAAGTAATGTCTTATGACTTGTTGGATTGGTCTTTTAGTTGTTTTTTGTTTGGTTTCATACTTTTTTTATCCTATTGACTCTTAATTGTATTTTTATGGACGTTTTTTATTGATTTTTGTATATTTAATAGAGGTAAATCGGTGTCTGTTGATGCTGTGATTTAACAAATAAATAAATAGATAAAATACCATTGTAACGGACAAACGTACGATCTCAACAATGACTTGCCTGGTTCTTTCGTTCTTTCCTCTTTTTGCTTGACTTGCCTGCTGTTTTTCCTTTATAACTTTGACTCTATATATCTTTTGACTGGGTTGCCTTTTCCCCAGTTTAGCACAGAAGTTAGCACCCCCAGTTATGCACCGAATATTTAAATATTTACAGCAAAAATATGACTTACCTGCTGTTTTCCCCTGATCTAATCAACAATTTAGGTTATTTCTTTTTGGTTTTTATTGTTTTAATATGCCTATGTATTAATAACAAGTGTTTTTATATACTTAAATGTTAATTATTATTCCTTAGCGGGGAGCGAAGAATTATAGCAAAGAATTTAATGAATTTATTACAAACAGACACCACAACAGTCGAAAGATACAAATTTACAAATTCATACCACAGATTCATACTTCATACCATAGAATAACTAACTTCATACATTCATACCATGGTACAAAGAAAACAAGGTATGATCGATAGCGACTCCAATTTCGTTAATTTTGCGCATACCACCTGTGACGTCATACGCCATACAAAAAAATAATCATATTGTCCAATTGCCACTAATAAAAAAAGACCTAAAATAGGGAAGAATTAGGACATAACCCCAAAAGTTATGTCAAATCAGCGAGCTTGACACTTGAAAAATTATTTTCACATTTATTATGTCATCTGTTTGACAATTTGAAATTGGCGCGCAGAGCTTGCCGACCAATGGTGCCGTTTATCACCTGTGACGTAGTGACCAACCTGCGCAATATCATACCTTGTATTCTTTGTATCATGCATCATGCATTCATACCTGCATTCATACATTTAAAAAAAATTCCCACTTATGATTCCCACTTCCCACGAAAATTAAATGGCGGACTTCAGGCATGGAGGGCTTAAAAAACGAAAATACCTAGACTGGAATCAGTGTTGTTAACTTAGAAAAAATAAGAAGTTTACATTAACTAGCGTCAGCGTCTACGTCCAGGCAAAGAAGTATCTTAATACCCTAGAAGTCTCGTCTCGCATCAAAATCTGACCTGTCGATGGGGCCTCTGATGGGGCCTCGCTTCGACGAGCGAGGCCCCAACTTCGTGGGGTCTCGCTATTTTGCTCGGAATTGAACGAATAGACGCGCGGTGTTGCCTTGTCTTGTGTGTACTTTCTTGAATAGTTTTAAATTATAGTTTTAAATTTTATCTATTGCTATAATCAGTCTTTCCGTTCTCCGCACTCCGCAGTTTACATATTGGGTAAAGGTGTGGATCCGGTGGCTGACCTTGAAGCCCATATTTGCTGCATTTGATCATCGATACTACGCAAGCGCACATCGTCGATGTTGCCAAATTGCAGTTTATATTTGAATTATTTGCAGTTAAAAATTTTTTTTTGAGTGTTAATAATATAATAATACAAATTCTATAATTAATTTTATAATTTCAGATTTATCTTGATATCCAAAATTAAGGTAAGAAAGATAATGAAGATTGTGAAATGAAAGTATTATGAATATATAAAATTGTAATAATAATAACATATTTATTTATATATTTACATTAAAATTAAAAATGATCGTTTACGTATTTTTTCTTAATGGTTTTAAACTTATTAGAATTATTTTATTTCTTTCAAGTTATTTAATTTCTAGTTATTTACAGGCAACAATAGTTTTGATTATATGTATTGATGTATCGAAGTACTACCACGACGAGTCTTATAGTCCTATAATGTTACTAATATAATATTACTTTGATTATAACGTTTGTATCATAATTTCTTAAAAATATCAAGTTAGTGGATCAATAGCAATTTTAGACATATATTTTATCGAAGAGTGTGCTGATAAGACTAAAATAAGCTTTATGTTTTATCTTTTTCTCTTTATAAGGGAGATGGTTTGTGTCGTAGAATACATTACAGTATTTAATATCGTGTATTTTGATATTCTTTTCTTAATTTACTGTAATTTCTTGTTTCCAATAAAGCCAAATCTTGACAATATGGTGAAGGTTGAGCTTTGATCTTATTAGTTTAATACCTGTGTTTATACAAAACCAAATTAAGACTTAGTTAGTTTGTGATTTATATTAAGATCTTTCTTATAATATTTGTTATGTCTTAATCTTAATACTATATTATAAAATAAATGTTAAAATATCTTAATTTTGCATATCCTATTCCATCCTTCCATTAGGAAAAATATGGTTTATAAATCATATATGCTATTCTAAATTAGCTGTAAGAATAGAGAAATCTTAAGGTAGCAGAAAAATTAATGCAATATATGTATAAACAGAATTAAACAAGGTAACTGTTAATGTTGCTGAAGCTGATTCTACAATTTTAATTACGGAGGCTAAAAGGCCTTTTAAGGCCTCCGTAGTTTTGATGGAATGTTAACAAAAACTATTATGAACATGACATGGAGCTACAGCATTTAAAAATTAAAAAAAAAGAAAAAACTTGGGCACATCCCTTTTAATTTCCCGAATTTTTAATAAAGCCCTTTTTAAACGTTGCATAATAATCTAGTGCAATTAGATTAATTATAGGAATCTAGAGTTTTATTTCTATTTAATTTTATTGACTATGAAAATACATAATAAGCGTTCACGTGTTGTGCGAAATATTAAAATAATATAAATAATATACCGTACTATGATCGAAAAAAATAGCGTCAGCGATGACTATGAAATGAAGATCGCTGTCATTTTTTATGTAAATTTATATGGGAAATGTCCTCAATCGTCATTTCCCAGCCAACTGGACGCCGTTTTTTCGATCATACCAAAGTATCACACGGTATATATTGACAAAAAAAACACTGAAAAAAACATATGAAGGAAAATTAAAATTATTTGTTTTCTACTGAAAATAATTCCGAAATAACTTGCATTCCGGCAACATCGACGATGTGCGCATGCGTAGTATCTGTGACTATATGCAGCAAAAACTCGTTTCAAGGTCAGCCACCGGATCCACACCATTACCACATATTGTTACGGATTCCGTAGGTCCACTATTTAAACTCACGATAAAATACTTAACGAATTTATTTGTTTCACTCCGTACACAACTTATACTATTTACAACACAACTTATGCAACTACTATTACTCTAACGGTATTTCGCGGTATTTTCAAACTTCAGTCTTAGACTTCAGTCTTAGACTTCAAACTTCAGACTTCAAACTTAAACTTGTCCAACTGTCAAAGCGCGGGCCTTATATACCCCCTGGCGGTTGTTTCTAGATTTTTCTAAAGAATTCTATAATTTTCTTTACTTTCTGGCGAATGCGCCAGGTTCCTCAATGCACATTGCGATTTTTTAGCAGTATGCAGTTATGCAACCAGTAATACACCTTGACATTGCCCCTTCTCAAATTTGATCGTCCCGATCAAGGTTTCCTGTCTGGTATCTCTCAATCGATCCAGATGAACTACTTTCATCTTACTTCTAGGGCTGCGTTGAATCCGGTACACAACATCATTTATCCTCTTGATGACTGTATAAGGACCTTCCCATGCTGGAGTTAACTTTGGGGACCTCCCTTTCTTGCGCTGTGGGTTATATAACCATACCATATCGTCCTGTTGAAATCCCGTAGAATTAGCTCTGAGGTCGTAACGAGCTTTCATCCGGTCACTGGCTAGCGTAATCTTACTTCTCACGGCCTTATGAATTCCCAATAACCTTTCCTTCAGTTCATCCGCGTAGTCCTCTACGTTCGTGGTGCTGTCGTCTGGTGATCCGAACACCAAGTCACAAGGCAACCGTAATTCTCGACCAAATAAAATCTTCGATGGTGAAAGTCCGGTGGTGTTGTGAACTGCACTTCTATATGCCATTAGGAATAGTGGTATATGCTGATCCCAATCTCTTTGATGTTCATCCACCATTTTCGAGAGATGTTCTTCAATGGTCTTATTGAATCTCTCGACCATCCCATCAGACTGCGGATGTAAAGCTGTTGTCCTAGTCTTGTGAATACCAAGCAGATCACACATCTTCTGGAACAGTCTTGACTCGAAGTTCCTTCCTTGGTCAGTGTGAAGCTCTAAAGGAATTCCAAATCTACTGAAGACATTATTGACTAATACTTCAGCTACATCGATGCTTCTTGGTTTGGAATGGCAAAAACTTCTGGCCATTTACTGAAATAATCCATCGCCACTAAAACGTACTTGTTGCCCTTGTGCGTTTCAGGGAATGGGCCTGCAATGTCAACAGCGATTCTTTCTAATGGCAGTCCAACGTTATATTGTTTCATTTTTCCCCTAGATCGACTGCTTGGTCCTTGGCTGGCTGCACAAATTTTACATTGTCTACACCATTTCTTGACATCTTCGCAATAATCCACCCAGTAAAAGCGATCTCTCAGCTTGCTCAAGGTCTTGTTTACCCCAAGATGGGCTCCAGTTTTACCACCGTGAATTTCTTCCAATACCTGGGTAACTTTCTTCCTTGGTACCAGTAACTGAGCTGTTACTGCGCTGCCATCCGCACTTTCCCATGTGCGCTTTAACAATGCATTCTCAATAACCAGTGAATTCCACTGAGCCCAGAGAGCTTTGAAAACGAGCCCTCTGTCCGCAATATCCTGCCACGGTGGTCTCTCGCCGTTACCTTCCTTGAGCCGTAGTACTGCTCCGATGTCTGGATCTTCCATTTGATCTTTCCTCAATTGTGTCGTCGTCCACTGTTCATCAGCTCCAAGCTTAAAACTCCTTATTCTGATAGTGCTTTCGCGATGTTTCATTTTCTTGTCCAAGGTAGCTCGTCGTCGATCTAGGTCGTTGTCGATAATTTGTACCCGTCCTACACGGCACCCAACGGTTTTCTCTAGTTTCCCGAACACAGTCTTCTTGGTATCACCAGGTATCATCACAATTTTCGATAATATTTCTTCCATATTTCCTGGTCTCTTCTCTTTAGATACAGAAAATTCCTCATTTCCGATTTTCAGGATGTTTCTATGGTGATCAAACGAAAAACCATGTTGACTGATCACATCCATACCCATGATAAAATCATCTTCAATGTCCGCCACTAAAACGCTATGCCGAAACTTCAAATTCCCTAACTCCAATTCCATGAAAGCCTCTCCCCGTACAACGGCCATTTCCCCCGTAACTGTACGTAAATACACTCTTCTTCTAAGAGGCATCATCTTCAATCCTCGCACTGAGTTAGTCTGCACCAACGATACCATAGCGCCTGTGTCCACAGTCATTCGATTTCTTCTACCATTGACCTTCCCGTTGATCACCAAACTGTCAGCGGTTTTTCCTAGACTCCTAACGGAAAACATCCTAGGGGCTCTGTTTTCTTCAGCCAATACTCGCTCATTAGTGTTGATTTCCGGGTGCCTATGTTCTCTCGATGGTAAACGGAATCGCATTTGGACGCGGCAATCCC